TCTGTTCGTCCCGCGGCTCTTTGATTTTCGATGTTACCTACTCTGCCGTTCGCGTTTCGTCCCTCTCGCTGGTCCGCCTGTTCCTCCCTCATTTCAGCTTTCCCTCCCGCCCGCCTGTAAGCTTCGCTGCATACCGCTTTCGGTTCGCTTCGTTGGGACGCGATCGAATTTCCCGATAAAGCTCTTCGGACAGTCCAACAGTATCGTCAATATATCCTACTGGGAGATTGTATACGGACTACCGTCACCGATTACGTCGGTGGATGTGTGCAAAGGCCGAAAGTTATCCACGCAGAAACACCGGAGACCTTTCCCGAGAGCAGTGCAAAATAAATCAAATCGTTTCTAGCTCTCTATCATCCTCCCCACTCCCTCTTTATAATGTTATTTAGGACGAGTTTAAATTCGCGACGGTGGAGAACGAAACTCGTTATCCGAACTAAAATCTGTTAAAGGTATATGAGAAAGTAAAGCTCATATATAAATCGCAGGATTTTAGCTCGCTGTATAACTTTCTGCCTGTTAATCGCTTCTATTTTTGATACGGATGTAGCTAATGCTGATTGAGTTTGAGGATTATTAAACCTTCACGGACCAGTGCTGCAATATACGCGGCACGACTGGTTTATTTATTATGTATGTCGAATACCGCGTTTATTGCGACATTATTTTTGTGATTCGTTATTGTATTTTGATTTAAGGTGTCAAGTCCTGTGTCGATCCCCTGTAGATATTTGATATTATTTTAGTATAAACATAATATAAAATTCAAATAGATACAAACCAAGAGACTAATTTCATTAATTTCCCAACTGAAAGGTTCTAGTAGCTTGAAACAATGGACGCAGGACTGTTGAAAGCGTATTTCAAATTAGTCGCGCTTCAAGCAATTAATTTTCTTTCCACTGGAAATTATTGGATAGCCGATAATTGAGTTCCATTGTTTTCGAATTTTCCTTGCTCGAACCAATTCAAAAGCATAGATACAGGTAGGAACAAGTGCTAGAGAATATAGGAAGTGGAATTTTGTTTTTTGGTCCGTGCAATTACGAAGATAATGTCAATCGGAACTTTCGGAAAAAAAACTTATCGATATAACTGTAGAAAAAGTAGAAGGTGAGGTCTTTTGTAATTTATCGACAGCGCGTAAAAAGCAACTGAAGTGCGTGTTCTGTAGATTCGTCAAGGAACTCGCTTTCTCCCTCTGTCACCTCGAAAGAAAGTGTCAGGCCTGGTCGATCGAAACGAGAACGGGAAAAGCACCGTAAAGCCATGTCGGTTGAAGGAAAAATGAAATAACTGCATTGCTGCAACCGACCGGTGAATCGTCCTGAACTACGGAAACTCGAAGGGCAACGATTTTCAAGAATTTTCTTTGAAATTATGCCACCATCTGCGCCAGTATTTACTTTTCCCACTTCAATATAATTCTAGACGTAAAATCGTAACTTCGTATCAATGAAAATTGGAATTATTGATTTATTGGATAAAATTTTCGCTTCTTCAAACTTAATTATTCTTCTATATCTATTTTTTTTTTAATATAAAAACTAGAGAGTGATGAAACTACACGAAAGAAATGTTTATTAAATACAAGAACACGTGAAAATCATAATGTATTGTTAGCTGTTGAAATATCGTGATACTGTGAAGTAATGAATAATGTATTCATTACACGTTCATTTAACATAATTAGACCTTAATAACTCAATATATAGTGTTAACCCATCAATACATTCATTTAAGATCTATGGAAACATGTTCTGAAAAGTCAACGTTTTTATACTTTTATATTTATTATGAATACGGGTAGATGTGCTTTAAGGGAATATTTTATACTGTTTTTCAATTTATTTTTTGATACGCGATGAACGCTTTTTCGATTACAACACCAATATAAGAGGAACAGTATATATGATTTTGTATTCAATGATTCTATAATGTTAATCGAAAGTTTTATTTTTGATTGAAATTTTTACTTGTAACCTTGTATGTCATTTGCAATGACACTACAGTATTGGAATTCCTATTGGAACTGGAGTTTTTCATTTAAAAATTTTGTACGTAACAATTTTGTAAAACAAATATTTGTAGTCCCTCGCTGAAAACTGGGAACAATAAATATTGGCCCAAAGTTTGTCCAAGTGTGTTTCCTAAAATCTGAGTTTTTTGTTTCAGCAAGAGTGAAGAGAAATTATTTAATTGGCGCATATGAAACTGCGGATGGCAGGAGTGTAATATTTCGTTTGTGCTGGGTATATGTTAAGCGCAGTCAAAGCGATTAATTTAAAGACAACAGAACGTAATCATTTTTAAAGAAATTAAAACGAAATTTGCCGCTTGCTTTAATAAAATGGAAGAATGTAACCTTTTGTATGATTACGCTAAGACTCGAATTACTCAAATGACTTCATACAAAAGGTACAATGAATTATATTAAATTCCGGTTCGTTGGTCACGTTCTCTGAACCTTCTTTTAACGTGATTTCATTTCATTTGAGAATTAAATAACTTGTTCAGTGTTGTATGATCCGGAAATGATGCAAATGTAATGAACTCGTTATGATTATCTGTGATATTAAAGGTCATCAACGTTTATCACAGACACATAAAGTACGTAAGTACATCACCATTTATTAAATAGCTAGACACCAATAGTATGATTATTTTAGTAAAATTAATAACTGTGACTTTTTATGACAAATGTAGTTTCCCACTTTCATCTTTCGTTTTGTCACGAACAGTAACATATTTCATATTAACAGAATGAAAGTTACGAAATGTTAGGTCCATCTTTTAGCAAATGATAAAATAACATCATCTTTTATCGGAAAAATGTGTTAAATTGACACAGGCAACGGATAAGGGTTAAATAATGTTTGATTGTGCAGGATTTACAAAAATTCGACAACAAACTTTATATAATTTAATAGAATAAATTTGTACGTTCAATAAGTAAAACGTGTTATAATTTTGGACTCATCCATCTTATACTTTTTAACGTTTTAGATATATGTATGCTTTATTTTACAGAAAATGTCAATCGATGTACCATCATTAAAGGTACATTATATTTCTCTTACTTTGTTCACTATTCAGCCAATTCCTACAGGATTGCAATACGCTTCATTAGAAGAAAATAATTCAACTACTTTATTACGTCATACCATAGTGTATATTTTTTAATCGTCTTCCTGTTGCAATATTTCGATTAATAAAATGTTTACCAAATAACAGTTATCCTTCAGCAAATAGGGCATCAGTTTTTCTTTAAAGTGTTACATGTAGATGTAACTAATACTTTTGAAATCAAAAATTTATTTATGCACTCTACTTCTACAACAATTACAGAAACGTATTTGCGTGTCACTGATACGTTAATTTCACGTGGACCACTTCACTTTGACTAGACACAACTTAAACAGTACTGTATCTACTGTTCAGGTAGGTAAAGTTTAGCTGAATCGTTTCAGTTGTCTCATGACACAACGTTCACAAAATGAAATTACTTTAACCTTATTGCCAGGACTTACACTCTGCGCCATTTTCTTAATCTCTTTGTTCGCCTTCCACCATGTAATTACCGCTTCTGGTCTGGAACCACTTGTCCTGCACTCCACCTCGTAGTTCTTGTTAGCGGATACTCGAGACTCCTTCGTCAAAATCTGTACGAACAGCGGCTTCACTGTAAAAAGAAACGGATCGTGTTCCGTTTATAAGTTCGATAAGAAACAACAACGAAGATGGCAACGCTGTTTACGTCGACAGCTGCAAGTTCCACGATTCTCTGTTCTAATATATAACTATTTGATAATTCCCGAGACTCTTTCTTAGCAAATACTTCTATTTTCTCCCCTTTTGATTGAGTAATTAACGCTCGACTAATAGTGTTATATATATGTAACTTCTTATTCGTAATCGAATTATATTTGAGTAACGAGCAAAGTTATTGAAGTGTAGCTTAATTTTTATATTAATGTTCTTTCTTTGCCGGAAAGGAAGAGTTAACATCTATTTTTATAATTTTATATTACCAACATTTTAATCTCGTAATAATGTTAAATACATATTGAAGTTTTATCATTCATAGTAAAATGTCTACAACAATGATAACTAGAAAAAACAAAAACAGAATGCACATGGTATTGTCAGTCACGAAAATGCTATATAAAATATAATTCAATTGCTCTCTTATGTGTAAAGATTTATAAATGTTCTATAAATATTTCTTTTTTGATACACTTACTAGGATAAATTGTTTTCTTATGCTCTTCTCACATTTTCATTTTTATGCCGTTTCAGTTCAACTTAATATCCTTCATTCAAAATCATTCCATGTTTATAGTGCTACAAGTTGTCAAATGCATCTCGATGACAACTAGTACATTGCATTATAAAAAGTGAACGCGAATATGAATGATTTCGAAACAATTTTTCTGCACTACATAATGCCTACCCATATTTTCAACTTTTTCTCACTCTTAACACAAACGATAGTGATTCGGAATCCAATACGTTACGACACCCTGTACGCACAGTGAATTTTCAATATATCTAACACCAAAACTACCACACCTGTCAAAATGGCGGATTTCAGTTTTTTTATTTCGCGATTACTGATATCTTAAGGATGTTAAATATTCGAAATAGCAAAAAATAAATAGTTTCACTTGAATACTATAATGAATCTACGAAGAAACCGGATAAAATTTATTATTACAATTCTCATAACGATTACATATTGATCATATTAACCAATTAACTGCGTTTGACAAGTATACACGTCATCCTAAAGCTTGAAATGATACTAATTCTTCAATGATGAATTCTTTATTTCTTCAGATAAACATGTAATTCTTCTTTGCTTTGCTTTGGTTTTATCATTAAAATATACCTAGGTGCATTTGTCCTGCGTTTGACAAGTATTTACATACTTCTTTTTTTTTATTTTATTGCGAACGAGAGATTTTTTATACTAAATTCCACAGTTAACAGGTTAAACGCTCGGCAATTCTAATGTTACCTTTTTAAGTTTCCTACATTTTCTTGTATAAAACAAGTTGTACGCAGTAGCTCGTGATGTTTTGATGAGAGATCGCTAAGAATGTCAAAAGGAGGAGGAATTGTTGTGCAATGGAGTAGCATCGCGTCAGGTCATAAAATAATTTGATTTGTGTGATGAAGAATAGAGGTACAAGAAGTTGTAGAAGCAAAGAAGTGGTGGAGCAAGGGGTGAATGGCGTGTGTATTAAAATCTCGTAAGAATTCCTAACTTGTCGTAGATCGTTATAAAGCGCATTATATGCTCAACTTTCACCTACTTACAAAAACAAATTTTCCCTCTGAACAACTTAACTTTAACTAACTTATGTGAACACCGCCACTTTCGAACTTATCCTCTTTACCTCCGCAGTTCGTGAAAACTGCAAATTATTCCGTTGAAGCTTCGCCCCGTTTTCGTCCTCCGGATAAAACGACTCGCTCCGAGTGTCTATGAGACGGGAATGTCTAATTTCGCGAGGAACGAACGCCGATGAGAAGCATTTAGAGAACAGGGTAAGTTTCCGTAAACTCTATAAGAGTATTGTGTTTGTGTTCTGAAAATATTACATTTTAGTAACACCTAGTAAGGTAGATTAATCTATGTCTTCTCTTTTGATACAATTATACGAAGACAACAAACATCTATTTACAGAGATTTCAGCTGCGATGCGAGATGTGAGTGGGTGTTTTTAAATAAATTCCAAGTATTTGCTTTTTCAATTTTCAAGCTTTCAAACTTCGAAATTATCCAATTTTCAGGCTTTCAAACTTTAAACTTTTCAAACTTTCAATTTTTTCGAGAAATTGAAAATTTTGTAATATATGTGTATATGTAAAGTTCAGATGTTTAACTGATTTCTGTATTCCTCCAAAGTTCACATTTGTAGATTCTAACAAAGGGCACATAAAGAATTGATATCTATTATCTGTTTTGTCTTGATATTCATAGATTTTTCGAACACAAAAATTTGACTGTAATTACACTAGCGACTTTTAACACAGGGTTTTGCCTGGCGAACGGCGGAGAATATTGAATTTCCTATTAATGTCATCGCTTGTGCGTTACCTGCGGAAATTCATAGGTTGGAACGTATACATCTGTCATGGTCAACACATATATCTAGTGCCTGTCCACATCCATCAGCTATAAATCGTGGATCGTCTATTGATTGCAATTATTGCGTGCGATATTAGACTGCCTTAATCACGAAATGGAATAAGGTATGTCCTACAACCTATGTTTAATAGAGTGTCGCTTAGTACATTAAATTAATCCTTAATTTTTCCAAATCACTATTATGTATATTCAATACTTCTGTAAATTTATATGTATTTTCTTCACGCTGCATCTGAAGATTTTCAAGAAAACATACTATTGTCGAAATACTAATGTTATTTGAATATATTTGACTAATTTTTCCAACAGAAATTTGTTATGTAAATTGTATTTACAGTTTTCCCATCATGTTACTGACGATTTTATAAAGAATGTCATCGTAACTACTGCTGTTTAACGTCTTTGTTCTGATTCGCAAGAACTATTTTGTTATATATAGTGTTTTTCTTTTTCGTAGGGTATTATAATTTGATCTTAACACATTGCTCACTGTCTATGAATAAAACGGATTTATACATAAGACTAGACAGTTTAGAAATAAGTAAACTAAAATAAAACTTAAAACATTACTTTGTTTATAGATTAATCGTGATTACTAAACACGGTATATGGAAGCTAAGGTAACAAAACTGTTTTGAAAATACTTGTCACACAAATTAATATTTAAAATGATAAAATATTAAAAAACAAGGTATTAAGTATTTAAGACTCAGAAAATTGATTTATAGACTGCTGGTTAATAAACACTGATGATGTAAAGCTTATTAATTAGCTGCCAGTAAGTAATGTGTTAATAATTCAGGTAATTCTACAGTACTGTCAACACTTTGAAATCAAAGTTAACTTTCATGGAAATATAGGAATTCTCGTGCAACACCCTATAAATTCCCGATGTCCGTTTGGTATCGCATTTGTTGAATAATTGCGTTTGAAGTGCTTTGGTGGAGAACCAAGAAAATTCATGTTTTGTTCGATGCGAACCACGTGTGACCGATCGCCCGTAGTCCGGATATTTTTTCCAGAAAAAAAGACCACGTAATCCGTACCTCCCAACCGGCACCGAAAAAATAGCGAGAGCGCATAGTTACTTTATGAACTGTAAGAAAAAAGTAGTTGAAAATGTAAATCAAATGAAACGGAAAGCAGTAGAACGTTATAAAATTAATTTGATTCCTATGGTAAGCGGTAACAACAAAACTAATCTATGTATAATTTATTAAACACGTAACACAAAGTCATCATTCAAGATCACGGTTTCGAACGCTTAAATAAAAATTCCAATCCCTGTTATATTTATGCATTCTGTTATTTGTAAAAAGATAAATATACTCACATATATACCATTCATTTATTTATATATGAAAACTATTATGTTTATATCTTTACCATTAGAAAGTCGAGTAAATACTGTGAAATATATTTGGTTTATCTGAATAATTGTGCTGTATATAAAAGAGAACATGAAGTAAAATATTACCAATAATAGCCTTACTTCACTTACATATCTGAAACTATTATTAACTGTTTCGTTATTGGTTTTAGCACCATAAGTTTCAGCACATTTTCACAAAAACCGATTATAAATCCCGCACTGACACGTAGTAGCAATCTTCTTACCATAATTTGGCTAGAGAACAGTTACAGTATTACCCTTGATTCACGTGACACCATTCTGCAATCATCGCCTAATTTATAATTACGTTACGACTTTCCATGTGATCAGTAATACAGAAAGCGCTTAATAAAACTAATATTCTCGTTAATGAATAATATTCATATAACGATATCTATTCATGATGAAAACCAGTTTCTCCCTTCTTCCGAAGAATACAAAATTCAGAGTAGCAACTATGCCTGCAAGGGATCGTAATATTATAAATCCTACTGGCCGTTCATCCGCGTCCATTTCGTTCCCCGCTCCTTCGGCAAAATTTAATAACGATCGAGACCGAAAACAAAAGCCCAGTAGTATCTGCTACGATCTGTAATACCATGTTGCCCATCGTACAGGCTGCCTCGTAAATTCCAGCGCACGCTTATGCGCCGCCGCAACCAGCCACTTGTACAACCCCTAATTGCCATTAGCCAGTAGCCACTTCTCTGAAATTGGTTCCTCCGTTCCGTTTCGTGGCCTATCCGCTACACTGTGCACCAATACACTGATCCTTCTTGACCTCCCTTCAACTTCAGCCCCGGCGCCCCCCAATCCCTTTCATCTTATGTTCGTCGGATACATACATACGTACGTATACGCTCGTATATTCGCGTTTCTAAAGATCTTCATTCCTGGAAATGGATGATCCTTTGTACACTAAACGGAATTTCCTACGGCCCGGAAAGAGGGAGCACGATTAGAAGACCGATTTCAAACGACGCGGCGCGGCTAATAGCTTAAAATTGGACGGAAACTGGTTCACCACGATTGTATATACATTGCTTGCCCCTAATAATTCTATTGGACGACGACTTAAGAAACAATTGTGCAAATTCGGGTACGCGAGACTGCAATAGTTTATTCACGTGAT